TATGAAAACACTCTATCTCTAACTATTTGTTGTTTTATTCGTTATTTATGTAACTTAAATATGGTTTTATTTCTTTTTTTGTATTCCAAAAGAGTCTAAAATATGATTGCTGTTGATTTCCCACATGATTTTTATTCCGGTGCATATATGACTGTGTTGAATGCATAGTTGTTGTATTCCAAAAGAACTGAGATTGTTTTATGGTAGTGCATATCAATATAACTATTTGTTGTATTCGAAAAGAGTATAAATTATGATTGTTGTTGCTTTCCCGCATGATTTTTATGCCGATGCATATGACTGTATTGAATGAATAGTTTATCCATATAAATGTATATTGTTGGATGTTGGGTATTTTTAAACTTTTTTTATGGTCGGTGGTTGTTGCATCAAATTTGTTGCATGTATGATTAATTGTTCTATAGTTGTCATCAATGGTGGTCCCAAATTTTAGTTTTTTACAAGTTAATGATGGCCCGTCTACTGGTTTTGTCTGCTTGTTTGCTATCAATATTGTAAAAGTAGTGTAAGGGGACAACCAGTATTGTAAAGTTATTTTTTAATGCTGACTGATTTTTTAATGCATTTTGATAGGTAGAGAATCTGAATATTTCACAATTGTTATGCACCATGGTGGCTTTATGGTAAATTCATCTGGTTTTAAATACACTGGAAAGGAGGTAAGTTTTATTGATATGTGCCATGTGGACAGTATGTCAATGCTTGAAATGTATGATATTATGGAAGAGTTAGGTTATTCTGGTTTGTGGCATTTGTTTTGGAAACAATCTGGGCATAAATTTACTGTTAAGCCATTAAGAACAGATTGTGATATCATTAGCATGTTAGAAGATATGCCCAGGAATAGGCACATTCATTTGTACTTAGAAGAAAATGAAGCAAACTTCTCGAACGAAACCACTGAAACCACTCAAACCAGATATCACAATGCAACTAAAACTCATGAAACTGTTATAACTGAAATGCATGAAACTCATGAAACTTATGAAACATTCATGACTGAGTTAAACTCTAAAGAAGATACAAGATATGTTGCTGATGACACTAATTCTTCTGTAAGTGGTTTTGAATACAGTGAAAATGATGTGAGTGAGGAAGAGGGGTCTGTACATGAGGTACATGTGGGTGTAGATTTTGAAAGAGATTTTAACGGGTTAAACAATAGAGATGAGGGAAATATTAATGTATCTTTGACTGATAAAAATGAAAATGATGAAGTAGAGTCATTGTATACTGAAACTGAATCTGATTCTGAGTCCGACTCTGATGGTCGAGGAAAACATAGATGTCCTGAGTTTAACGATGAAACTGATATGGAAAACCCACAGTTTAAAGTTGGAATGATTTTTGGTGACAAGTTGAAGTTCAAAGAGGCTGTTAGGCAGTATGAGATTAAGAATAGGGTTTTTATCAGATTCAAAAGAACTGACAGTGTTAGGGTGCATGTTGTTTGCAAGGAAGGGTGTCCGTGGTATATTTGGGCATCAAGGGTTGATCGAAAAGATGAAACAAACACCTCATGGCAGATTAAGTCTTATGTAGGAGATCATAATTGTTTGATGGGTTTTAAAAATAAAAATGCAACCTATAAGTGGATGGCTAAAACATATCTTGAAAAATTTAGGGCTAATCCTCAGTACCCAATTACAGATATTAAGGCAGGATGTATTAGAAGATCATGTGTATAAAATGTCATTGAGTAAATGCTTGAGAGCTAAGAACTTAGCTCTTGATATGGTCCTTGGGAGTCACAAGGGTCAATACTCAAAGATATATGATTATCTTGGAGAAATTAGGTCTTCTAATCCTGGAAGCAAAACCATTCTAAAATTGGATAATAGGGTGTTTGAAAGAATGTACATATCTTTACAAGCATGCAAAAAAGGTTTCAAAGGTTGTAGACCTATAATTAGCATTGATGGTTGTCATCTTAAGGGCTATTATGGAGGTACCCTTTTGGCTGCTGTTGGTATTGATGGTAATGACAGCATCTATCCAATTGCTTATGCTGTTGTTGAGAGTGAAAATGAATCATCTTGGACTTGGTTTCTGTTACTGTTGGCAACTGATTTGGAGATTGAAACCTCCCATAATATCACATTTATGTCAGACAAACAAAAGGTAATTCTGATTTTCCCTTTAATTAATTATTCCTTTCTATTATGAACAATTTTTCTAATACTTTGCGTCTTGTTTTTTAGGGACTGGTTGAGGCAATGATGCATGTTTTACCTAATGCTGAGCATAGGACTTGTGTGAGACACTTGTACTCCAACTTTAAGAATAATGCTCAATTCAAAGGAAAGAACTTAAAGGATGCATTGTGGAAGGCAACTAGAGCTACCTACAAAAAAGAGTTTGAAGATGCAATGGATGAACTGAAAGCATTATCAAAACCAGCCTTTGATTGGTTGAATGCAAAAGACCCTGCCCAATGGTCTAAATCTTATTTCTCCCCAAGGAGTAAATCAGACATGCTTCTCAGCAATTTGTCTGAGTGTTTTAACAAGGTAAAATGAATAAAATTATTTAAATATGATTATCTTATAATATGATTCTAAGCCATTTTTTGGTTTTGTTACAAGATGATTCTGGAAGCTCGCGATAAACCAATTTTGACTTTAATGGAGATGATTAGGACCAAGATAATGGAAAATATTGCCAAGAAAAAGGAAGTTGCAAACAAGTACACTGGAAGTTTGTGTCCAAAAATCCAAAAGAAATTTGAACTTGCAATTCAATAGTCCACTAGGTATTGTTAAACTATTTATTCTTACTAATGTGTAGGTACTGTTAAGTTTGTTTCCAATTAAGTTATTTATTCTTGATTCATTTTTATGTGTAGGTGCTGGCCTACACACGCAGGAGGTCAAAAATATCCAGTGTCTGCTGGACCATCTAACCAGCATGCTATTGATTTAGAAAATCATTCATGCTCATGTAGGAAGTGGGATCTCACTGGTTTGTATCAAATGTCTTATGTTACAATATTGTTCTCATTTACTTTATTAATTTAACCACTTTTATTTCTTTCATTGATAGGAATCCCATGCATACATGATGTTTCTGTAACAGTGTTAAATAATCAAAGGCCTGAAGCTTATGTTCACAACTCTTATTTTGTAACCACTCAACGAGAAATTTATAGTCACTTCATTCAACCCATGAGAGGCCCCAATCAGTGGCTAATTGACACCACTTATGAACGAGTTATACCACTAACAATTAGAAGACCACCAGGAAGACCTAAAAAAAAGAGGAGAAAAGAAGCGAATGAGCCTACAAATTCTCATGCTACAATGAGCAAGAAAGGTCTGATGATGTATTGCTCCAAGTGTGGTCAACCAGGACACAACCAAAGGACCTGCAAAGGGATAGTTGGAGGCAACATGCCACCTAGGTGACCTAATTTCAACTCAACAAGAGAAACCAACGAAATAAGGCTTGAATCAAGGCACATCCGGAGAAAACTACATGTATATATTTCTTATTCTTTTTTAACCTTATATCATAATTACAATTATGTTTTGAGATTTTGGTACACTTATGACTACAGGTTAGGAGAAGAACTACAACAAGGATTACACCATCATCAAAGGCTGCAACATCATCACAAGCTGTAACATCACAACCACCATCATCATCACAAGCTGACCCTCCATTTGTCTTTATTCCTACTCCAGGCCACACATTTTATCCAACCAACCAGCAAACAGAAAATGTAATGTCAGTTAGATGGATGCCACCCTCACAAGAAGATGTAACCGCCAGCCAACAATTAAGCCAGTTAAGCACTATAACCCAGACTTCCCAAGAAGAATGTCAAAATGTTTTTGCAAAACGAACAAGGATGTTATAGGTTGATATTCTCCAATTTTATTTGGATGATTTCAGAACTTAGATACTTGGGTTGATATTTTGGATTGAATACTTAAGTTTATGAACTATGTCTTTTGAACTCATGTGTTTATTCACGTTGATATTTTGTGTCATATTTTGTTGGGTTTTATAGGTTGATACTTAAGTGCTTATGTACACTTTATGTTGTTGTACACATGTGTTGATTATCAACCACAACTCTTATTGAATGAAATTTATTTTGTTTATCATTCATGTTTGACATTTTAAAGATAAAAAAACTGTAAGCATCAAAGCACCAAAACACCAAGTTTTTTAACAAGCAAAACTTAGTAGCTAATTTTACAAAACCATCTAACAAGAACCATCATATTTAACAAGCAAAAATCCGTTAATCCTAAAATTTTCACCCTCAATTTTTCGTCCCATTACAAACCAATAAGTACTATCATCACAAATTCCACCCTAAATTTTTTTCACCATCACCATTTGTTTTACGTACCAACCCAATACAAACCCTAAAATAAAAATAACACCCCAAACAATTCTCTCATTCCTCCTCCTAATTTTAGTTGCTTTGATTTTCTTCAACAATCCCACAAGAACAACACGTGCTCGTGGAGTCATAGGAGGGTCAAACCAACAAAAAAATCAACAATCGGGTACAACCAAACTCCCATAGTTTTTATAGCCAAAAAATCTTCTCCCGGGATTATCATTGGACCATGATGTCCTCAGTTGAGCCGGATATCCACACCCGCAGACTGAATATGCAAGGGCTTGCTCCATTATTCTGCTTCTTCCACCGTCGAACTTCTTCCTTCTTCCTTTTTCTTCTGCTGCTGAAAATAAGAGGAGAAATGAAGAAAATGGGGTAATTTAGGGTTAAATTAGGTATTTATATAACACAAAATACCAATCAAATGCCAACATCGATCTTACGTGGACTAAAAAACTTTAATAAACCGTCCATGTCATCGCCGTCACAGCATTCGAACGCCATGTCTTCGCGCCGTTAACGGATTAACGACGGAGTGACAAAATTGAAGTGAAACATAAATGTCCGTGCTAAAATTGGCAAAATTGAAACGTCAGTGGCATTTTCAGTCCCGAGCATAAAGATGAGTGGTATTTGACATAGATTACCCTTAATTATATTTTATATTTCATAATCTTATATTCACACAATTAGTCTTTATAATCTTACATTTTTATTAAATAATATTCCCAATAATATCAAGTAAATCCTATTTTAACAAATAATTTTATATTTTATAAATCAAATCCATCCTAAAGAACAGTGAAAAGTATTAAGGTGTAAATTGAAAAAAAATGGTATACATAAAAAAAAACCTTGCGCATTGGACTTGAAAGAAAGGAAGAGAAACTTTAATTACACTAAAAATTGACATGAACAAAGCTTGGGAATGGAATGGATGGAAATTGATCAAGGCTGTTCTGAAAATTGTTGGTTTTATAAAATTTATTTAGAAAAATATATTCTAAAATGATTAAATTATTAAAAAAATTAATAGCAAAAGAAGTTATAAAAGTGTGAACTTTTATCTATATAATTAATTAATTTTATTCATATTTTTTGTTACATAAATTTTGTCCTCGAATTCATTTTATTTGATCAATTTTCTCCTTACATTAACGTTGACTATTACGGTAATGATCATTCACTTTCTATCAATCTTTTATTAATCTCAATAATGTAATAATTAATGTTAGTAAAAGAATAAAATTGATAAAACAAAACGATTTTTTTAGAGTAAAATTTAAAATTGATGTAATTAAAAAATATGGACAAAAGTATTGATTTGATTTTACTTTAGAGATAAATTTTAGGAGTGATTATAAGGTAATTTATGTTTAAGATTTTTCTTAATTACTGACAACGTACAGACACCCTGAAGACACAGTTTGTTCGAACATTACTCCCTCTAATCAATGATATTACTTAATAATTTCACTATAACGAGAAAATGAAACTTTAAACTTTTTATTTAATAAATTAATGACATCAATTAAATGTATTTGATATTTTATATTCAAGACAACCCTAACGTGCCGTCAGGACCAATAATCTATGAGAACCCTGGAGGCCGGCCACCGAAGGTTATTTTGGTTGTTTCTGTCCTGCAAGAGAGCGTCCAGCCTCCCCAACGCTAGTGGATGTGGAACGCTCGACAAAGAAGGGTCAAAGTGGGACCAACGAAGATGTGTTGGATTCGTTTTCTGATATAGAAGCTGATGGAGAAGATGGAATCCCCGCAAAAATTGAGTCAAAGTTTAACAACTCTGAGGTGAGTTCTGTTGAGGATTTGGTGGATCAACACAGTAAACAAAATGTTACGTATGCTATTATGGTGTCTGATGGTAATCAATCGTTTAATGGTCATGGTAAGGTGACGTGATTTGTGGAGGATGAAGTGATTATTTCGGCGAAGGATGTTATTATGGATCAAACAGGTGCTATCCCATCGATATGTTTCTCTGATAGGGTTCATGATCAGATAGACAGGAATACGCGCAACGCAATCATCGTCTGTCTCCTTGGGCGCACGATTGGCTGCAAGACCATGGTGACTCGTGTTCATGCTCTTTGGAAACCCGCTGGAGAAATGCAACTTATTGATCTTGACAACAATTATTTTTTGGTTCGGTTTACAGATGAAAGGGACTTCACGAATGTTCTCACAAAGGGTCCGTGGATGATTTACGGTAGTTACTTAACGATACAACCTTGGAGTCAATCCTTCAAGATGTCGGAAAAGCACCCCTCTCATGTGGTTGTTTGGATCCGTCTTCCTGGCTTGCCCTATCGTTATTATACCAAGGCACTTTTTTGTTATATTGCTTCTTTTATTGGTAGGGTTATTAAGATTGATTATAATACTGATGGTGGGGAGCGTGGAAAGTTTGCAAGGTTAGATGTTCTTGTTGACCTTAATAAACCCTTCTTATCTTGTATCCGTGTTGATGGTTCCATTAAAAAACTTGAGTATGAAGGATTGCAACAAGTTTGTTTTGCTTGTGGAGTGTATGGTCATACTAAGGAAGCTTGTTAATCGTTTAAAGTAACGTCCAATGCAACCAATATTGGAGATGGTGTCTGTCTTAAGTCGAACCAGTTGTTGATATCTCGGATTCCAATCTCTATGGGCATTGGATGGTTGTTGATGCTAGGCGTCGTCGTACGGTGTCGAATAACCCATCGATGAAAATGTCTCCAAAGCCTTCTTTTGGTGGCTCTCGCTTTGCTGTCCTTGAGGGTAGTGTTAATAACGATGTCAATCCGGATGGATTGGATGGATCATCTTCAATGCAGCATGGTGGAATAAAGAGCTTCCAAAACCATGATCATGAGAGAAGTATTATGAAACGCAAGACACTGGAATTACATCGGATTGCGGCTTATATGACCTCAAACCCGGAGAAGAAAAACAAGGCTGTTAGAAATGCTATTCAATCTGTGGAAGTTATTTTTCTAATCGAGAATCAAGGTGCTTAGGTTGTAAACCATACTCCGTCCCGTGGGGACCCATAAAACAGTCACCATCGTGGAAAATATGGACAAAGGGGCGTCTACTTCCAGCTTGAAGAATCATCGTAACCAAAATATTCAAAATAAGAGTCATCTTGTTAACGTGCGCCTTGGTTTGAAGGTTCGTAAGCCACACGACCCCCGCCTTGTTTCTCCTATGAATCCTACTGACTTGGTGCGTCACATTTCGGAGCAACTTAAGAGTACTGGGCATGAGGAGACTTCTTTACCTCATTAACCAGCCAATGGATTCAGATCAAATTGCTTTAATTAATCATTCTTCAGATGATGATGAGATGTACACTCATGGCACCCATATTGTGACGCTATTATAGGGATGGAGCAGGAGTTTGAAGTGCTTGCTAACGAACAATAAGGTTTGAACTTCCCCCTTTCTTATTTTTTATGACTAAATTCATGATGTAGAATTGTCAAGGTGCTGCTAGCTTGGCCTTTAAGAGATATTCAAATCATTCGTGAGGGAGCATCAGCTGAATATTGTGGCGTTGTTTGAACCTCGCGTGAGTGGGCAAACTACTGATAAAGTAATCTCTAAACTTGGTTTTACTAATTCCTTCCGTGTTGAATCTCATGGTTTTAGCAGTGGTATTTGGTTATTGTAGAATGATATGATCGTTGTGTATATTTTGCAGATCTATAATCAATTTATTAATGGTATGGTGCATGATAATAATGGAACTCTCATTTCCAATTCACAACTGTTTATGCTAGTCCGAAAAGCTCTAAGCGTAGACATTTATGGAGGCAACTTGAAACGCTTCAGCCAGGTGAGAACATCCCTTGGATTTTAGGTGGTGATTTTAAGGCTATTCTTTCTGCAGATGAACGGGTTGGTGGTAACTCTAATCATGCTAATGAGAGTTGTCTTTTTGCGGATTTTATGTGCAATATGGGATAATCTGATTTTGGTTTTCGGGGGCTCCGTTCACTTGGTCACGTGGAAATTTACACCAAAGGCTTGATCGGTGCATTGTTAATGCTAAATGGATCTACTCTTTCAAGAATGTTTATGTCACTCATCTGGATAGATTGAGTCGGATCATCGTCCGCTTTTGCTCTCTCTTTATGATGATTTTCGATCTCAGAATAATCGTCCCTTTCGGTTCATTAATGCTTGGCAATCTCATCCTCAATTTCAAGGTTTCCTTGACTCTATTTGGGCGGGGGATAGCAATTTAGATTGCAAGATTGTCAATTTTCAAATGAATATTGGGACTTGGAATTCTGAAACCTTCAATCAAATTGGTACTAAAAAGAAACGTATCCGCGCACGGTTACGAGGTATTAACAGAGCTCTGCTTAACTGACATTCGGATTCTCTACTCTCCTTGGCGGCCGAGTTAAAAGCAACATTAGAAAGTGTCATTGAACAAGAAGAAAGTTTTTGGCGACAGAAAGCTTGCTCTCAATGGATATGTCACGGTGATCGTAACTCTTAAATTTTCCACATTTCTATTATGTCAAAACGATGGTCTAACAAAATTTCCACATTTCATGTCTTTTCGCGCGTCTTTCCACAAGGAGCTGCCAAAACACTTCATCAAGATCCTATGCGACTATGGCCATCTCACTTTCAGCTTATTCATCCAACAACCTACCTTTTCATGAATAGATACTTTCAACCATCATGCCCTTTCTTCAAAGTAACTATTCATGAAAATCCCCATATTAAGTGGTGCACGTTGGTGAAGAGATTTTAGCTAAGGGAGACCTATTTCACGAAGAGTCATGAGGCACATCATCATAACCATTCGGCCACACAAGGGAGCATGCCTTGCACATGCATGAAGTTGGCGCCAAACATGAGAAAACCTCTCCATTCATTCTAAAGAATCATGTACTTTCATAAGGGTGAAAGCCTTAGCCGAATAACCATGTGATGGTTCGGTCATGCCCCTTGAAATCCTATATATAGCCATTTGGCTTTGTAAACATTCAATCCAATCCTTTGATAAATTAATCTATTGTGAGGTCTCCTCTTTTATTAGTTCTTCAAGAACCTTATCGACTTATCAAGCTCTTGTGGCGTCAACCCCATTCTTTCATAGATACTTGTGTTTCCTAGTAGTCATATAACTAGAGGTTCCAAGTCCTTGTTTACCACCTCTTTTTTACCACGCCAAAATCATTTAACCAAGTCTTCCGCTATCAAACTCTAAAATAGTCCACCCTTATCACCTACATTAACCTACCCTTAACCATTCTTATTTGTGAGCCTTATCTTATTGCAAGTTGTTGCTCATTTACTAAATACACAATCATAAGGTAGAAATACCTTACATCATAAATTCATTGGTAGATGTTCTATGATTGATGCAAACCTTTGGGGTACTTATCTTAGTCTATCAATGGTTTAGGAAGCAGGGTTCAGAAACATTATCCTTGAAAGTGATAGTCTTGAAGTTTCGCGGTTGCTTGGTAACGATTACAATGTGATGATTCAAATAATGTAATAGCAATCAGTGCAAGCATATATTATCATCTATCAAGTAGTAAAAGTGGACACAACTAGTGCGTCGAGTATTGTATCCACAGGGATTAGTATTACTTCACTTAATTGTCATGCAACAACAATAAAATTGTGTATAGTTAATGTAGGGAATGATGTTGTAGCAATGTAATTAAAAACATAATAAAATAAACATGGATTACAAACAAGTAAATGAAGCAATGATCGTTCAAGCTAAAGATTGTGAAATGTCACACAGCAAAATGCAATTAACAATGTTGTAGTGTCGACATCGTTTTTTGCCCGGGCGGGGAAAGACTGATACCGACTTGGGGTTTTTTCTTTGAAAAAAAATTTGAAATGTGAGGAGTCGCCACCAATCATTTAAGGTGCGATTGGGACACCATAAAAACCGGGTGATTTTAATAAAACATTCTATTTTTATCAAAATACCAAGTTTTAAGGTTTGAGAAAATCTAGAAATCAGGTTCGAGATCATTTACGCGTGGGGAAGGATTAGCACCCCCACAAGCGCCCAAAAATTGGTATCTAGTTGATCACCCTATATTTAGAATCAGAAATTTTGAGTTCAAACTTTATTTAATTTAAAAATCATTACAGATGCAAAGTTGAAAAAGGTATTCGTTTATTAAGGCCGATAGCATTCGCCCCTAGCATAAATATGGGAGATCGGCTATTATGCCTAATAACCGAACATTTCCTTAATTTCAAAAATCATGATGTGGTTTTGAAAAGGATGTCGACCTATTTCGGGAATCATCGATAGTCAACCCCTGAGCATATTTGCGGGAGATATACCATTAATTCCCTAATAAGTGAACATTGCCTTAGGTTTTAAAATAAAATGCAATCAATTTTTTTATATTCGTCCTAATTAATCTAAGGGTAAATTAAGGCTTTTTCTAGCTTAAAGTGTAAAATTATGAAAATTAAGGAACCTAGAAGCTCAAGCCTAAAATGAATGTTCTAATATTAACCCTATTTGAGTTTTAAACTAATTATTGAATCGAATAACCAAGATGGTCCCTCGAGCATTTACACTAGGGCCGACTCGAATTAATCCCTAAATTAAGAGAACTAAATTGAAATATTTCGAAAAATGGAGGCTCTATTTAACCTATTTGATTATGTCATTCTTAAAGGTCTAATTGATGTTCGGGGACTAAAAGGTCAAAGATCTAAAATACCGAGTTCTACAAGACTAAAAGCTTAAGGACCTAAATCAATAATTCCTAAAGTTAAAATGTAAAAACGCGTGGAAATTATAGGGGCCTAAAGGTAATTATTCATTTTATTTAAAAATAAAAATAATCTATTAAATTAAAAATTGAAAAAACACAAAATCGGTTTATATAAATTAAAATAAATTTAAAAAGGTCACTACACATGACTAAAGTGCAAAAACACAATTAATTTACAGGGACCAAACATCAATTTTACCAAAAAATATAGCATGCATAGAAATGGGTAAATCACAAAATCAATCCCTACAAGTGACTAACATGCAAAAACACGCATAAAGTAGGAGGACTAAACAATAAATATACCAAAAATTACATAGTACAAACAGAAATGGGAAAATTATAAAAACGATCCCTACCAGTGACTACTTTACAAAAAGATGCCTAAGTTCGGGGGACCTAAATGAAATTTCCCTTGAACATTCCATATAAATACAACTTAAAACCTTTTTTTATTTTCACCTGTGTTCTTAAAAAATCTTCTCCTTTGTTTCTCTCAAAACACTCGGTCGACCCACTGTCGGTCGCCTCGAATCGCCCCTGACCACCGTACACGGTGGCTGGAGCTCCAAAAATACTCAAAATGGCCTAAACTTGTTGATCTAACCCCCTAAACATAGATCTAAGCCTAAAGCTAACCAAAAACCCCCTAAACAGCCCCAAAAAAGGTCATTGAATATTTTGGTTCCTTCAACTCTGGCTGACTTGACAAAGCTTCCTCTTCGACTCAAAGGTATACAAATATGATCACTTTTCTATTCTTTATTTATTTTTCCAACTGTAAAAAACTTGGTTGTGATGATTTTTTGGAACAAAAAAAGTTTTTTTTTCTTTTTTGGTTGTGTTATGAAACTATGGCCTCCTTTGTTCGAAACTAAAAATAAGTTTTGTGTTGTTTATTTTTGAAAACTAAAAGCCTTTTTTTCTTTTGTGTTGTTGTTCAAAATTGAAAAAGGTTATGAAAACCAGAAGCATAATTATACCTTGAAAATTTCTTTTTATTGCATCTCCCAAAATAATGGACCAGTTTGCATCTCCTAAAATTTCTTGTTTACTATTTTCTACAAGTTGTGTGGAGTGTTGGAGGCTTAATGATGGCATGCTAGAGGATTCTGCAGTGATTGGGGCAGAAAATGATGATGGCAGTTAAGTGGCCATTTAGGGGCAACTATACTAAGGTTAGGTTTAGGATAGGGTTCTGATCAGGCTTGGTTTGGGTGTCGGGTATGGGTTTT